GCTGCATAGACTTTCCAATGCAACTCCCTACCTCTCAAATACCTATGGACCTCAGCATCAAGTTACAAACTCTCTTCGTCAAATCCACCAAACACAAGTACAACAATCTCCTAAGGTCACACCTCAGTTTCGTTCCTTTGAAAGGAGCTCAGTGAACCAGTAGACTCGTAGTTGCTTTCAGAAGAACTCAGTTCTCCTCAAAGTAAAGGGGGGGCAAGGAAAGGATATAAAGTAAAATAGCACAACTCAAAGGCAAAAGTTAATGAGTACAAATATAATGCAGAGAAGAGAAGCTGTGAATCAATTGTGCTTTTCAAAACAGAAAAGAGTTACATTTCAGAGTTATAAATTTTTCTAATTTTAAAAGCCCTAAGTTCTTGATGGAGGAGTAGTTGAAGGACTTTGCAGTTCAGTAGGAGAAGTCTCAGCAGCAGGAGTAGGAAGGGAGCCTGGAAGCTCAGAGAAGGAAGTAGCTGGCAAATCCTCCATTAGTGAAGGGATTGGGAGCTCGAAAGTCAGAGTTTCTGTAAGCTCTGAGGAAGGCAGGAGAAGAGGAACCTTAGGAGTTTCTGAGGAAGGGACATCGACCTTTGTAGATGATGAGTCTAGGGCCAGAGCTTGGGAGATAAGGTCGGCAGAGAAAGGGGCAACCTCAGAAGCAAGAGGAGACACGGGGTTAACCTCAGGATCGACAGCCTTAGCCCTCTCCTTAGTGGGGGGATTAAAATCAAAATCTTGTCCAGGGTAGAGCTCCTCAGCTCTATCTTAAAAGACGAGCCACCCGAAAGCCCATTGAATAGTGACGTCATTAGTTAGCTTGGCAATTAGACTGTTTTTCTCCTTACCTGCTGCCCTCTCCATCTTGAGCTCTTTTCGAAGAGTGTCGTTTGTCTCAGCTAGGAGGTCATATTCCCTCTTCATATTTCGGTAAGAGCTCAAAGCCTCAAAGGACTCCTGACTAACTTTGAGTCATTCATATGTTTTCTGCCTGAGCTCCCTAGAGATTTTTCTGGGTTCCTCCTTAGTTTTTCTGGCCTCTTCCTTATAACTCCTGCCTTCACCGTCAATCCTCTCCTTATCGGCTTCCAAGCCCCTATTTAGGGAAGTCTGCTTCTCTATCTGCTCCTGCAAATCCTGGATCTGAGCTTTGAGGTCGCTGTTTTTAAAGGACAATTCTGCGACCTTAAGCTCAAAAACTCTAGAAGCCTGAACAGAATCCTCCACAGGTTGGATCTTTTTTAGCAACCCGTTAATATGGATGGTCATTTGAGAGCAAACCCAACTCAGGAGAAGCTCAGATCAAAACGATCAAATAAAAAAGAAACATATATGTATATATACAACAGAGCTTACGGAAGTAGCAGCAAAGAGGGCAGTAGAAATGGAACTCCCAAGTGGCATAGTGAAAGCCCGCTGAGTGTCAGACTTGGGGAGAATAGAAGCAATGGCCTCAGTAGCTCGCTTTACGTTATCAATCAAAGTGCTCGAGCTTGCCTCAGCACTACCCCCTTTCTCACTATTGCAGATCTTTGAATGTTTCAGAGATGGTCCCTCAGAGGAACCAGGGGGAATAGCTCCTGGCAGAATGCGAGAAACCATCTCCAAGGCTCTCTCAACCTCTCCTGAAGAGGGAGAAATTGGGGTTAAACCTTGCTTAGGGACCCCACCAGAAGGGGGCAGCCTAGTCTCCTGGGAAAGAAAGGTCTACGCAGCCTTTGGGGAGTCCAAGGAGGTTGGGGGCCCCGCCGAGGTCACTCAAGGTGAAACAGGGGTCACCTATAGTCTTGAAACTTTGAAGGTTGAGTCACTCCCTGATCCGGCCTTAGCCTTGCGTTTACTTCCACTCCGGTTCTTTCTCATCAAAGATAGCTTGGCATTTCGATCCTTTGCTGTTGGCTCCATTGAAGAAGAGCCTGGAAACTCAAGGAAGAACCAACATGAGAAGGAAGGAAAAGGGAGGAGTCAAGTTTTTTTTAAAAAAAAAAAAAGAGAAAGGCAAGGGCGAAGGAACTTCACCTACTACCTCCTTAGCCCTGACAAAGGAGAGTGGGATGGGGGTCTCTACTGTTACCTCTGGAAGGTTGAACCCTTCCCTTACTAGAACCCAAGGCTTGATGAGTTCAAAATATTTTTCTAGTTTATACTTCTCTAACCTTAGCAACACCTGTTCGTCCTCAGTGCTGAGCTCAGGACGAACACCTGGAAAAAAAAATAAGGTAGGACAAGATCAGGTGGGCCCTCCAAATTTGAGCTTGGATAGTTTGAGCAAAGACTTACCCAAGTTATCGGGAGCAAACCAGGCTCTAGGAATAGGGAGAGTGTCTGTCTTATCAGCCAGGTTGTACTCCCAGTGTTCTCCCCACACGAAGAAGAAAAGTTTTCTCCAGCCCTTGTGGGAGTTCGGGAGGTTAGAAATAATCTATTTAGCCTTTATCCGTTTAGAAACATACAATAAACCATCAGTAGGGGTATACTTAACATTGAAAAGTTCCATTAGTAAGGAGACAGTGGGAACATTGAGCTTGTGTAGCTTGAAGAAAACAAGGAGGCCCACCAGGACACCCTCGAAATTGGGAGACAGCTGAGCAGGACAGACATTAAAATGTTGAAGGACACTCTTGACAAAAGGGTGTAAGGGAAAGCGCAGACCATTCTCAAAGGCAACAACAAAGAAACAAACCTTCTTATGGACCTGGGGGACATATGGGGTGAACTTATCTGGGCACCAGAACTGAACTCCTGGAGAAAAACTGTAGCGAGCACTAAGGACCTTCATTAGAGGTGGACTGACCTCACTGGGGCCTGTAAGCTCAACAGCTCTAAAGGCAGCACCTGCACCCTCGGTACTGCCTGAGACACCAACTCCGCTCATTTTAGTCTTACCCTTACTAGAATCTTTGGGCGCAAGGGGGCAGATAGGGGAGTTTCCTCAGTGTTTCCCTCGGCTTCAGCAGAAACAACCCCAGGAAATTTGTCAATTTCCTCACCTACCTCGCCTAAATCCGAGGTGTCCTTAGCAGTCTTATCCCCTAGAAGGGAAACAGAGAAAGAGGTGGCTTCAGAAGAGGCAGACGTGGTGGGGCAGGGAAAAGGGAGTCTAAAGGTACGATAGAGAAGAGGAATATTTACAAAACACTCCCTAACGGTTTGGGGAGCAACACAATAACTCCCAATAAGAAAGACCCTAGCGATCGAATAAGGGTCCAAGAAAAGAGGAATTCGAGATAGTGATCAACCTCAATTTTTAAAATAGCAAAATTGACAGGTCCAAAAATACAAGAACCACCTCAAATATGAGGAATCCAGAACGAAAAGACAAACAGAGGGTAAAAAACGTACCTAGGAGAGGAGAAACAGTAGGCCAAAGCCAGAATCGGAGGCAAAGAGCAAATCTCGTCAAAACCTCGGATTGAATCAGGGAAAATCGTTTCCTCAACGAAACCCTAGTGGCACCAGTAAACTCAAAAAATTGAAAGTCGTAGGAAGAAGAGAGGGAAAAAGTGCAGAGAGGGAGTTCAAAGGATGGAATGAACCGCTCCCCCTCAATTCGGAAGCATTTAAAGTTAATGGTATAGAGTGGAGAACATGCACGAGAAACTAGGAAGTGAAATGATTGCTTAAAACTATCAAAAACTTGTTCACGCTTAAATCGAGGTCTGCATCTGGAGGTCAATCCTGTTTAAGCCTCAGCTCAGCCCCCACCCAAGTTCACTTGGAGTAAGGGTTGGGGGGCAACTGATAGTACTCAAAATAATTTCTAAGCATGAGATCGGACCAGGAGGTCAGACAAACAGGTCTAGAAAAGAAGTCAGGAAAGACACGCAGAGCCCAGGTCAGAGCTAGAGCTTCCCCCCCCCAAGCTCGCCAACAGCGGAAGTGATAAGGAAACAGCTGGATGATAACAAAAATCTGTTAGGTGGCAAAGAGCCATACTCAAGGTATAAAATCCTTAACCAGCCAAGATCCTCTCTTAAGATTAAGGAGAGTTCCTTAGATAAATAGCAAGGATCTCGGTGCAGATCTCATAGAACTAGAAACAGCCCTATAAATATTATGTAACTCTCCCAAAACAAGGGGGGAGAACCCTAGTAACATATATACTATCCTGTAAACCTTCTAAATAGAGAGAAAAAAAAAGGAGCAAGAATCTCCATTGAAGAGTAGACTAGCCAAGCTTCCGAGCTAGTAGACCACTATACTTTTATTGTGCAAGTCTCCCCCCAATACCCCAGTAATCTCAAACGCGAACTACACGAGCCCCGCAGCTCAGATCCCAGTTGCCAAGTGTAATACATTCCCTCTGCTCCTCCACTCTAATTTACACTATCATGTTTAATACATGGAAAAGAAAATAATATATTATTTATAATATCTAAAATTTTAAACCTTCAAATTTTGATATTGAGAGATTTATTTCAAAGTTTTTAAATTTAATGGTCTAAAAGTATAACTTTTTTTCAAATGAAGGGTAGGTGGGCTGGGCTTGCAGGCGGGCTCTTGGGCGGGGCTTCGAACCGCGTAATGGGTTTTGGGGCAAACTCAAGCCCTTTTTTTAAGGATATTGAGCTCGAATTCGGACGGGCCAACTATCAGGCTTCAGGCCAATTTTTTTTGACCAGGTAACGGGACCCGTGGGTAACCCGGCCCATGGACACCCCTAGGAATAATAAATACCCTTTCAATTTATTTTCAAAAAAATACACTTATGACCAAATAAGTTTCTTTAACGTAGTTTAGTTTAAATAAGTCTAAATTTTTATACCGACTTCTAAATTATCTTTTTTTTTTCTTGTAAATTATTATTGTACGAGATTAATTGATTAAATTCTTGGGCCCAAAATCAGTCTAAAATTTTTTTGTTGGTTTAGGCCTTCATATAGAGCTTTCTTATAAGGGTAATTTTAATGAATTTAAAATTGACTTGTTAAATTTTGAGGCTCTCTTTGTTGGTGGGCCTAAGGCCACCGCTTCTTTTACTTCACTGTTGGGCCGGCCTTGTAATGCAGGCATTTCAAAAGGCCATCAGAGTTCGAATCAAAGAAGAGACCGAAGTGATCGAAGGCGAAGTTGTCGAAATCAAAATTGTCCGCCCTGCTGTGGCCTCGAAGACTGCGATATTGACCTTAAAAACGACGAAGTTGGAGACGGTATACGATTGGGGGGCGAAGATGATTGAGGCATTGTGGAAAGAAAAAATTCAGAGTGGGGATGTTATTGCCATCGATAAGGCCTTCGGGAAAGTCGCGATTCGCGAAGCTTGGGAGGTCGTTTTCGCGGTCCAGGGATTACGATGCGAAGGGCCACAGATAAAGTTCGTTCAATGTCCTGACGGAGAGTTGCAGGAGCGGAAAGAGGTTGTACATTGCATTACTCTTCATGAGATTGACGTTATCAACATCAGGTATGGATTTATATGCTTCACTGATGTTGAAGAATGCGCATTTTTAGTGATTGTGTCGTTTGAATTCCCTTTCAGTATGCATATGAAGTTTAATTTAGGTTTAGGCCTGGAGTCTGCTGGTATTGAACATTTGGATTTCCGTACCTATATGGCTTTCGAGACAGCAACTATGACCCCTCAATTCTAGCTAGGTGAGAATGGCCAGGTTTTCACTATTATAAAAATTGAACCTTTTGGGTACTCATAACAAGCCATTGTCTCGGTTTTGGAGTTAGAACTAACATCATTGACATCGCATCACCTTGTGTATATCTAGAACCACTGTCATTTTTGTCACTCATACAATTCCAGTTATCTGTGTTGCCTGAGTAATTATTCTTCTCTTTTGTATCTAGTGCTTTAACCACTTTGATTTTCGATTTTCTTTTGTTACTTATTTGTGTATTTTCAAATTGGGACAATGTGAAGTTTTTGCTTAGGTTTTATGTTATTATGTTCCTATATCTCTTACTTTGCATGTATGATTACTCTAATTTTTGTTGCTTTGATGAGAAATGTGCTTGCATCTGCATAACCTATCATAGAAATCTTGCAACTGAATCTGAATTAAGGATAATTACTTTTTTAATATTTGAGAACATTTTCAAAATTTGGGAAACGGAAAATGCACTCTGTTGTATGTTTTATTCTTTCATAGTCAAATTGAATTTGTGACCAAATGGACTGTATTGTCAATGAAAAACATCATGTCCAGGTTTTACAAAACTGCTACTTGAGGTTTGATTGCTCTTCCAACTAAGTTGGTGGTCTTAGATAGTAGCAAGGACCACTTTAAACACCCCTCCCCCCCAAAAAACAAAAAAAATCACCAACAAAAAAAAAAAAAAAAAAAGAAACAGCGGATGTGTTAAATATCATAACTCGGTTGAAGGCTTGCTTGAGCTTGTTCATGAGATACATGAGCTAAGATTGAGCATATTAATTGTTGGATTTTTGAGCTTGACAGCTAGTAAGCATTAATACCATAAGGGAAATCGAAAAAGCATGCGCAAAGCAGATTCCAATAATCAAGCAATTTGGGTTCAGTTACTGATCTCAACTAAATTAGAAGCTTAATTGAGAGCAACTAGTGAGATAAATGAACCAACCTCGAGTTTCATTTGAAATTCTTTAAGATTTTCAAACCAAGCTTAAGCAACCCACTAATTAGCTAGACTCGACTTGTTTACACCCCTAAGAGTTGGGTCCAATGCATGAACATTTAATATATGATTTTTTTTATTAAGAAATATACCACTTGTGTGCATGAAACTGCATGTCCATGCTCTCATTTGCATTTGATGTGTTTGTTAGGATAGCCTTGAGCCATGGAAGAACCCATTAATTGATTTGGTTTAATGACTACAGACATAAGCCATGTACCAGCAACATACTCTAGTAGTGTCTTTATCTATGTTTACATATTCCGATAATTTCATTTGGATGGTGCATGACCATTCTTTTAGTAGCTGAATTTAAAAAGAAGGTGGGGGTGGCGTAGATCCATTTGCCATATTTCTTCCTTAATTCGGGTATAACATCCATTCTTGTGCCATTAATATATGTTGATTGCTAGGTGCTACCTATCAGAATTACCCATCTTTAAAGTTATGATGACCTAGGCAGTTAGTTGTTGTGACCATTATAGTGGATGTGTTGGTCCTTTGTATTGAATTTTTATCTAGCTTGGTTTCTAGAATTTAGTAGCTGCTTATAGAGGTTAATGTGAAACAGCTCTCGACTGACTAATGGCTTGAGACTTAAAAGTCTGTTTGTTTAGCACGATAATACAAGAGAAAATTTTCTCAAAATTTTCATATGTTTGGTTAGCATAAAATGGAAAATAAGAAAAAATAATTTTCCTCCATGCTTAGACTTTCTTACAACTAACCAACTTTTTTTTCTTGTAAAAAATACAAAAAAAAAATTTGTGATCTATAATTAACTTCCCATGTTACTCTTATTTTGCTTAAAATATTCAATTGGTTTTTAATTTTGAAAAAAATTGGTATGAATTAGGCTAACCATATAATATGGCCTGAAGATCTAGGTTTGGGCTGATCCTTGTCTCACAGATACAATCTTCGGGCCGATCCTTGTCTCACAGATACGTTTGGAGCCTATTTTTAGAATAAGTTTTTTTTTAAACTTTCTTGCAAGTTTTCAATGCTAACCAAATACGTGCATGAATATATATATATTTTTTTTCATTTTCTTTTCTTTCACTTTATTTTTTATCAATTTTACTTTCCATTGATCTTTTTTTCCTAGACAAACGGACCCTAAGGTTTTGGCCCCCCTCCCCCCATTTCCTCTTCTTTTAAAAACAAAAAATGTACATGTAGAGAGGCCAACAATTGCACCAAAGATCTTGGCTGCCTCAAATGATAAGCCAGAAGTGTATGGAAACCCAAGGGGCCCTATCTCTCTCTTTAATAGTTGAGCCGCGGACCTTGCCTGCCTCTAAACAATCCAATCCTGCCCTCCTTTTTTTTTTTCCATAATTATTTGCTAGGGATTGTTTCAAAAGCTTGTCAGACAGTAACATCGGCTTTGAGTGGAGTACAGGTACTTTGTAATTTTAGAAATAAAAATGAAGAACTCCAGTAATAAGACAAACAAGTCAAACAAGCGAATGTTTTTAGGGAGACACTAGACTCTAGTGATGCTGATGAAACACTTGAGGAGACATCCATTTTCTTCCCCTTGTTTTTTTCTCTTCATAGTAATGTTTCTATCTTTGCTTGAAAATCCTTCCTTTGGTATGTAATGTTTTAACGGGATAATGGCAAAGTCCAAGAACATTTCTTACCTTCCTCCTCTTCTTCCTGCAAAAGCAGGAGAAAGGTAACCACCTTTTCACAGGGTAGCTTTTCATCCTTCTTACTTTGTCTTCTCTCTAGTATCCATCTCTTGGTATATGAGGGCATATTCTATGTAATGTTCCCATTCGCTTTTTTGTTTCCTTTTTGTGCTATAATCATTTGATAGTTCTCAGTGCTGCATTGATTCTTTTCCTTTGCTGTAAACTTAATCATAGAGAATTTCAAGTTTTCTTCTTTACATATTGATTGTGTTGAACCTTATGTTCATTTCAATATTCTGAACGCAGGGATTCCTGGCTCTCTTTACTGGTGATACTGGCGAATCCGTGCTGAAGTAAGGGAATAAATTGACACAAAAGTCCTAGAGTGGAGAGAGGAAGGGAAAGCAGAGATCGTGCCAGGCGTCCTATTCATTGACGAAGTGCACATGCTTGATATTGAGTGCTTTTCTTTCCTAAACCGTGCTTTGGAAAATGAAATGGCACCGATATTGGTCGTAGCTACCAAACGGAGGGATCACTACAAATCTGAGGCACAAACTACAAATCTTCCCATGGCATTCCAATTGATTTTCTTGATCGCTTGCTCATCATCTCTACACAGTTACACAGAAAAAGACATTCGGAGAATTCTGGACATTAGGTGCCAATTAGGAAGATGTTGAAATATCTGAAGATGCAAAGATTTTGTTTACTAGAATTGAAGTAGATACATCTCTGAGATATGCAATCCACCTCATCACATCTGCTGCCTTGGCTTGCCAGAAGAGGAAGGGAAGCTTGTGGAAATGGAGGACATTAGTCGTGTTTACAAGTTGTTTTGGGATGTGAAGAGATCAACGCAATACTTGACGGAGTATCAGAGCCAGTACATGTTCAATGAAATGCCAACGGGGGAGGGGGATGAAGGTGACACCAGTGCCATGATGGCATGAGTAACTCCTTTGGAAAGTTATCCAGAAATTTGTAAGTCTTTGCTTCTTCCTCTTCCTCTTCCTCTTCCTCGTCCTCTTTCTCTTTGTTTGCTCTGCACTAATCTATTCACAAAGGAGATTCACTTTGTAATACTTAATTGTTTCTGAAGTCTGGATGAGCAGCTTTTAAGTTGTTTCGACATGCTATAAATTTGTCACTGAAAGTAGGCTTTGCAATTCTCCTTGTAGCATCTATCACAAAACTGGGTACCAGACAATGAATTAGCAAAAGGCACAAAGAAAAAATCCAGTGGATTGGTATGTACATAACCATAACAACCACACTATATTATCCTCAAAATTCACAGCCCTTTCCAATCTCATTCTAGCAAGACCCAACAGAATACTGGGGATTCTGTTTCTCCGGTCACGTTTGCAACCCCATAGTATACAAAGCTTCGAGCAGTGACCCTTTCTTGCAGTAGAATTTATATGCTCTTTTTTTTTTTATCCCCGTAGTTCTGAATAGAGCGTATGGAGCTTTACTCTTTAAATTCACTGATATGTATGAAATCACTACAATGAGATTTCGCTAGCACTTACTCCTAGTGTGATTTTTAATGTCGTAAAACAAAGAAATGGTTGTGATGATACCTAAAACTGGAATTACTAGCTACCAATAATCTAGTCAAGCAAATGGACCATCATGGAGCTAGATGACCAGGTCGATCCAGGATAACCACAGGAAAAAGGGCTGGGGTCGCCCTATTGAAGTCATAAGGAGAATCAACATTGCAAGCTTGGGACAATCGACTGAACTGAGCTCCCGAACGCACGAGCCGACCTCAAAAGGAAAGCTCGTCCTAAAGTCCAACTAACAAATGACAGATTCTTTCAGAGACGCACAAAAGTTCACCACATATCAAAGCTGGAGGACATGTCACATTGCCACCTCAATACGCTCTAAAAGGTCACACTACTCTTAGGGAATATAGTCTATAAGAGGCTGTTTGGTATATGGGTTTGGGAGAGGTTTGAATTGTGGGTTGGGGAATAAACCCATGTTTAGCCCAGGATTTGAAAACTCAGCCCGTTGGATGGCCCGGTCATGAAATCCATGAACTTGGGTTTCATTAAATTCATGGGGGAGGTGGGTTTCATAGGTGGGTTAATGTGTTTAATATTTAAAAAACATTTATACATATATCCCCACATGGGTTTGGATTAAATTTGTTAAATGGGGCAAAATAGTTATTTATATATAAATATATTATCATAATTGTCATATATCCCTGCGCATACCAAACATGGGTATGGACAACAGAATTTAATATTTGAATCTCATCTTTAGGTCAAACCCAGGTTTGGACAAGGCAATCCAAACCCCTTCCAAGAAACATATCAAACAGCCCCTAATAGTCTAGGGCTCTAATGACCCAATATTTCCTAAATCTTAACAAACCAGAGACTACTTGATTGATGATGATAACACCACCTCTTATATATATCTATATTACTCTTAAAAAATATGTATCATTATATTTTTAATAAAGTGTTCTAAAAATTTTCAAAAATTCTATCAATCTAATATTACTCATCTCATATGTAAAGATAACATTATGTCTACATATGTGTATTTTTTTTTCTTCGAAATATATATCCATAGTCGGTGAACCTCTATAACTCTCGTGTTCTTGCTTATTTTCTAGCTTAGTCTTCCTCTCTGATTTTACTATAGCATCAAATAGATCCGCCAGGCTCCAACCCGATGATTGTTTACTCCATCACACACCCACAAAACTAGTATTTCTAAGCCTTGAACTCTTCAGTTCAAGTACCCCGCTGACACTTTGAGTCACGACACCATCAAGTTGCATAATAATAGTAGGGGTGGGATTATTCTCAACCCCACAAATATTCATTCCAACCCCATTAAAATTTTATAATTAAACTACTAAATACACTCTTTCTATACACTCCCCATTTTAACTAATTTTACCCCATCCTATCTACACCCCTTTAATAACTAGTTCATTTTTTATCTTATCAAAACTAAGGTTTTATTCATTATTTCCTCTCATATACGCAAATAGTTTTTTTAATATGATTTTTTCTAGAGAAATACATGTTAGTATTATTTCTCGGTTTAATTTTTTATTTGATTTCATGAGCCTTTGCAACAAGAAGGAAAAACAAAGTATTATAAATTCTTGTGTTGGTTATCTGTAACTATAAACATAAATTATTCTTATTGGTATACTCAAAAAATTTCTTTAATCCAGTTTATGTCCATTCCAAAAGAAGTTAATATTGTTGCCTACACCATAGCAACACAAGTTGTTGCTCCTCATGTTAATCTAACGGTGGTTATTTTGACAAAAAGCTAGGATAGATATGGATAATATACCGATGCTGAAAGTGATTCAATCATCTTACTTATCAATCCATATTGAAAAAGTAATTTGTGTAAGGTGTATGAGAGTAGATAGTGAATGAAATCTTAATTATGAAAAAATAGAAAGTGGACTTGTTATTAAAATGTTGTGTATAGTGTGAGATGACCTTAGTTGAAATAGGGTGGATATAGAAGAGGTGAGCTTAATAGTTAGATAATAAAATTTTTAATGGAGTGAAAATAGATATTTGTGGGGTGAGAATAGTCCCACCCTAATAATAGGGGCTTTAAGATCGAACTTTTTTATAGTGTTAGCATGATACATAAATGAATCTCATCCCCTAGCAAGTAAAGTGCTTACGCCCATATAAGATATGAGTGTAAAAAAGAGTTTGTTGTTCGGATGAAATGTAGAGGCAGCGTTAAATTGAGAAAATTGGAATTACCAAAACCAATTCAAACACTGCCACCCCAACGAAAATATTGACATCGACTCGTAAGTGATAGCTCAAGTGGTAATAAGTACAAGCTGTAAATATAAATGTTTTGAATTCGAATCTTGACAACCCTTTGAGGTCAGGTTATGAGGAATTTATCTCTCATAAATACTCTAATCCTGTCGTGAATAATCTGTCTTTGATCAGACTGAAGAGAGAATTAATCGAGGTATACATCAGTTGGCCCGAATACCCCTAACTATTGAAACCAAAAAAAAAATGACTTGGAGAGACATTAATGACCAAAAACCATATAATTGTCCTCTTGTAGCATGCAGACAGAAGCAGGACCTAAAATGTGGCTGTGATTGAGGAGATTGCCGTTGTAGCAAACTGAATTTATGTGGATTAACATGTTGGCTTAGCCAAGTCAGTCAAAGTTCCAATCCATTTTAAATGGGAAAATTGGGGTTCACATGCAAAGTTTCTGCCCACACATGTAGACCATTCCTTCATTTGTGGACTTCTACATTGGACAATATCAATTTCCCGTGTAACACGCATCAGACAATGCTAGATTTTGTAGTAACTATGGACAAAGCCTCCAAATTCGGCCACTTGAACTGATACAATTTGTCTGTAACCGAATAAAAGTTAAAAAAACCGATAATAATTGCCCCAATTTCGCTAAGTTTGAGTTTAGGGTAGTGGTAAGTAGTTGTCCATTCAGACAATAACAATTTCCCCATCCAACACGCATTACACAATTCTTCATTTTGTAGTAACCATGGAGGTGCATTCCAAGTGGGTTGGTCTAGTGGTGGTGTCAGCCTTGCTTCTCACTCGGAGATTGGGAGTTCAAGTATTGGAGTTCTCATTAGAACTCAATAATTAGCTGTTATATTAGTCTAACTAAGTTTGGTCTAGAGAGATGTTCTAGGTGCGGCCGAGAGTCTTATGATACCACCGGTGAGGGCCTAATGGGGTGGTCGATGGACACTCTTCCTTACTCCCACTTCTTTTTTAACCAGCAAAAAAAAAAAAAAACCTATAGAGGTGTATTAATTATATTTTTAACTAACAAACAATGGTTGAGAGAATTTAGCTCAACACCCAAATTACACGAACCTGTATGAACCTGTTTGAATACAAAAATGTTATTACCCAAAATGATATGATACGGGATAACAAAAACTCTATTGAAATCCCTAATCTAAGTGAGAAAATATGTACTGTTAATGAAAAACTTGGAAGAATTTTACTGATTTTTTCCTTTTCCAATCCAACAGTTTGTATTCACCTCTGTCACTCTTGTAGTTGAGTGTTCCTTTTTGTTACAAGATAGAAATAGAAAACAGTGTCACCTCTTTCAACTACAACACTAGTTACATCAACCCTAACCAATGACCCAAGCTTTTATGGTGACAGCTGCAACTCCCGAAGCTTCACAATCTGTTTTCAGGGAGTTGAGTGCATGCCACTTATTTGATAAAACGTCTGTGAGAGGTTTTTAGTATTCTTACAAACCATACCTATTCCCATAATATCTTATGCCGGAAAATCAAATGGCAGAGGCGAAACAGCGGAGGAATTCTCCAGCTCCGAGTGCACAAAACCAAATTTACGAAGCACTTGATTGTCCGCAAAATTCAAAGCCCTTTCAATCCCAATCCAGCAAGAATCGCCGCCGTAGGATGGGTTGTGCCGCCCACTACACGGTTGACACCCCGTGAAGTGCGTAATAAAGGGCCGCCTCCAGCTACTATTATTCCCACCTTCTTCTATGTACTGTTCCCTGAGGCCACCGTAGCTCTCGCTTTCCACCTCCGCATGCCGCCTTCTTAACTCGTGCACCTTCCTCTCCATCGTCACGTATCTTTCGGCGAAGGTATCGAGTTTTCCGACTATTCCCAACCAGTAACCATGGAGATCATACTCATTCTCTATGTAAATCTTGTTACCCCATTTTTCTCTCTCTTTCAGCAGTAAATAAACCAGCCCCGATTGATCGTCGGACTCCGGGAACAGCTTGTCTTTGAGGGTTGATCTCAGGGTTTGTCCCCACTTTTTGTAATTTGGTGTGTGTGGGCCCATACTCGCCCAAACTTCCAAGAAATCCATGGACCATTGACAGTTTCTTATCAGAAAGATGCCGGCATTGATGGCTACCCAACTCTTCTTCTCGTAAACCTCCTTAGGCCATCCATGGACTACTAAGTTGTGGTCTTCGTACCTCTTTAATGGAACCTTAAAGTCCATGTCAGTGAACACAGCGTCTGAGTCGACCCACCATAGCCACTCAGCTTCCGGGTGAGCAACCATGGCGGCTCGAACCAGAGGTATCTTTGCCCAATAAGAACGCATTTTCTGGTGTAGATGAACGTTGTTGTAGAAGATATCATAGCCGTGAAGTCTACAATAATCAACTTTGTTCTTGAAAAATCTAAGGTTTAAATGATCGCCGATTGGGTTCTTGCACGGAGACGGTTGTGACCCAGTTAGGAGGAGTACCCGTTCACCGGCTCCGGCGGCAAACGAGGGGTGACGCTTCAGCCACTGTCGTCTCTTGTCGTCCCACTTCTTCACAGGCTTCTCTATGGTGTAACTAAGGTTTGGGTCGTCGTAGAATGTTGTCTCCGGCGGGTCATGACGGAGGTCTCCGGCGCAATCCCGGGAGGTGACACATTTGGAGGCGAATTTGGTGTTTGGTGTTGACAGTAAGGTTGTGAAACCAGGCCAAGGGTTTGTGACGGACCAAAGAGCACAAATCATTATAATGACAACTACGGCGGCGACGGTGACGGACCTATCTCCGGCGAGCGACGGAGATTTGCCCTGAACTGTTGCTTTTGCCATGGCTGGTGTAGTGTAGAGCTCTGAGACACCTCTGTTGAGGTTATTTATAGGATAATGTTGGGAGTACTTAAAATAAAATAGAGGAATACTACGTGGACTTAAAAAGTAGACTTAAAAATTAGACTTGATAATTTTAATCATTGATTTCACTATGGGTCCCAGCATTTATTAAGATTCACTATCTATTCAATGGTTGAGATTATCAAGTCTAAATTTTAAGTCTACTTTTTAAGTCCATATAGCATTACTCCTTAAAATATATTTGATTTACTTATTTGATTAATCGAAGGGTCCTAATAAATATTAAATTAATAACGATGATCGATCAAGTTGGAATTTTAAGTCTATACAATATTGTTCGTATTTATATGTGGACCAATACTATTTCCACCGAGCGAATCCTATTTTGATTTAATTTATTAACCTAAATTTATTAGAGTAATATTATATAAACTTAAAAATTAGACTTGATAATCTCAACTATTGAATAGGTAGTGGGTCCCAATAAATACTATGACCCACAATGAAATTAATATTTGTAATTATCAAATCTAATTTTTAAGTTTAGTTTTTAAGTTCATATAGCATTGTTCAATTTATTATGACCTCTTAATTGATTGTGGGTCCCATTAATTATTGAAACTTGATTTTAATCCAATAATTTTAATGAGATCATATGATTAAATCAATAAATTATATTAGATTTTTAAGTATAAATAACATTACTCATTTGCACCACCTAATTTCACTTCCTAGTGATTAGATACTATGATTTTCATTGTTAAATTGGGCCATTATTTAACAAACAAGTATTATGAATTAAGCCTCTAAATTATGTTATAAAATTAAATAAAAATAATGTATTATTTTTATCAAATTTGAAGACTTAATTTGATAACTTTGTACATTATGGTTGTTAAATAAATAATGGATTTCAATTAATGTTAAAACTCACTATTAATACAAATATCACAATTTATTAAGTCCTAATAGTGGACATGGATAAGATTGTTAGTCAAAGAATTATCAATAAAGTTGAAGGATGTAAATCTAATTGGTCTTTAAGGTTGATCAAATGGGAAAGATATAGAGAATCTTAAACGTATTGATGGGGGAAAATAAAAATAATTAAAAAAAAAAGGTGTTTTAATACTTTCAAATTGGGTTTTGGAAGTTTCCATGTGACGGAAAACAAAGGCCTCAAAGGTAGAAATTCTTCCAATGGTTAGGAAAGCTACATATCACGTGGTAATATAGTCTCGTGTGGTTCCAAAACCTCCAGATTGTGCCTAAGATAAGGTTGCAGCTTAATTCCAAGGTGGTTTATGTGATAATAAAAATGAGTTATAAATTTAAACGTCTTGAATTTGAATTTTGATAACACTTTAGAATCAGGTCATGAATAATTTATCTCTCATGAATATCTTATTCTCCACGTGAATGATCTGTCTTTGACTTGACGGAGATTAGTCAAAATACGCATAAACTAACTCAGATACTCCTAAATATTGGACTAAAAAAAAAAATTGCAACTGGGATTCTTTGAAAATTAGAATGTCACACAACTTTTGTTTATCATATGATTTATGTTGAAATCTGGGTCAAAATTCAGGTTACAACTCGCGATTCCAGCTTGACTATTGAACGGTTTCAATAGTGTAAATTTTTTGTCCAACTAAATTTTTTTTAAGTAAATAAAAAAAAATAGCCATTAAATCAAATTGCAGATCACAATTAGATGAGAGAACCAGCTCATAATTGCAGATCAAATTATTAGGTAAACTCATTACTCTATTTAGCATTGCTCATTAGTCTATAGATTAGGTTAAATTTTAGTATCATTTATATTTTTTTATCCTTCTCTTAAAGTGTTTTTCTCCCATTTGTTTTCATGCAACTCAAATAGGTTAAAGATTAGGATTAATTATAAATTGTACTCTGAAAGATTGTTCGAATTTTAATTTACACCTCAAAGATCAAAAATTTTAATTTGTACCTTCAAATATAAAAATTTGTATCAATTTGCACTTTCAAAGATAGAAATTTTTATCAATGTGCACCTAAAACTAACTGCTGTCAGTTTACTGTCTAAAATTAAATTGATAAATTATACATAAATTCCCTCATGTTTATCACTTAATCATTTGGACCCCTTTTCATTTAGAATATTATTCATACATCTCATGACATTTGTGCACGTGTAACACGTAACCCTTTTTCATTGATATCTGTTAATATAACCGTTAAAAAATATGATTTTATCCTAATAAAAAATTATAATTTTATATTACCCTTTATTTTGTGGGTCCAATATACTCTAAAGTTTAAAATCAAGTTTATCATTTGAATGTCCAATAGAATATATGTATTTATAAAAAAAATTTATATGCAATGTAATATATTATTTTAACATAATTATTTGAATGCCTAATTGGGGAGACATTTTAGATTGAGATTATTTTTATTAGGATTTTATAACCGTTAAAAAAATATGATTTTATTCTAATAAAAATTATAATTTTATATTACCTTTTATTTTGTGAAGGAGTCCAAAGGATTAAGTGACAAGCATGAGGGGATCTAGATATAATTTATCAATTTAGTTTTGGGCAGCAAACTGACAATAGTTAATTTTAGGTGCACATTAATACAAATTTCTATCTTTGAGGGTATAAATTGAGATTTTTGATCTTTAGGGGTACACATTGATACAAATTTCCATCTTTGGGTGTGCAAATTGAGATTTTTTATCTTTAAGAGTGTAAATTGAGATTTGAACGATCTTTTGGAGTGCAATTTATAATTAACCCTAAATATTATGATAGATTGAGACTAGGTCTCTCAATGGATTGGACTCTAATTTAAATCCATTTTGAATCCAAATCCAATTAGTCCGATATAGATTAATATTTTTTACCGATAATCTGAATCTGAATTCGAATATAATATCTTATATTTCACAGATTTATATTTAAATATATTTATATCTAACCCTATTATGATCTGATCCAAATTATTTATACATTTTTTATAAATATTAAAGAAATTAAGTGATTATTTAAAGAAATTTATTTGAAATTTAGGTATAATTTATTAAAATTTAGTTAATTAAGTTATTCGGATCGGATCAAATTTCATATTATTAACAAATTCAGATATGGACTACGAAAATAAAATTTGTTGGATTATCGGATCACATTTAGACCAAACTTTTGAAATTGTGTTCGAATTTAGATTAGTCAGAATCCAATCTAAACCCGATCTGTTGATAAGCCTAAAAATAGCGTAATAAAAATAACCTATTATCTTATTTTTCAACCAAATTATTACCCTAATAAATTTTTAAACATGGGTTGAACTCGTTATAAAACTTGAAATTCATGTTCAATATTCAAACTCAATTAGAATGTGAATCTATTATTTTGTAACTCGGACTAAAATCAGGTTCATTTTATTAAATATGAGTAATTTAATTTGGCTTAGGTTTGGATTTTTTAAGAAAACTATAGACTCTCAAGTACTATTCGAATTTAAATTGCAGGAGAATATTGCCCCAAAAAAAAAAAACAGGTTAGTCTTATTTTCATGTGAAAGCAAACAAAATATTGAATATGCTTTGGATTAATTAGACTCAGTTTACTTGCACAAATTGTGGTAAAAATGATGAGACTATATTTCGGGATCAATTGTTCATCTACCGTTTTCTTGCAAGTTTTTTAATACAATACGGTAGTCTCAAACTTATTTATTAATTTAACGTTATTTTTATGAAGTTGTATTTCGGAGACACTTTTATACTAAAGTTGTGTTTCTAGAAACACGCTTTCTATGCAAAAGAATTAAAAGTGTTTTAAATACGAATTTAGTAACAACAGGTTTCGGAAACACGATTTCATAAAAACAGCAATAGTATATAAATAAAGATGTAACTACGATATTGTGTTTCCTTTGTCTGGGACTCTTCATAAATCAAATGTTGCAGAAATGCAATAATTATGTGGTGCAGGAATGTTTATTATCTTAGAAGAGCTAAAACCCCTTCACATCATAGTATGATCACATCTGCCATGTGAGATGTTTCAAACCCTAGGGCAGGTTCACATAGGTGCAACTCGAGCGGATTCTTTGTTCAACCTTAGATATATAATCATTAATCTTAATCCTAATCATAACTCGACCTCAACTCAAAGCACTCAACTTTAGTATTGCTCAAGTTTAATTTGGGTGGGCTCGAGTTGAATTCGAGTTAATTTTGAGTTGGGTGTGGGTTACGTATTTCGGATTGATTGCGGATTAAAATTCGGTTGGGTTCGTTCAACTCTGAAATCAGCCTGTTTTCTAAATCTGCTACATACTTAATAGTATTCACCTAAAGTAACAACCATCAACTTCAATCAAATGTTTCATATGAAGACCATAGTATTTAAAACATAAAAATTAATGTTTAACATAACGACATAATAGACAAATGTTTAACATAAGACTGACCCTAGTGTTTTTAACTGGTAAGTTATATTAATTTATATATTTATTTTTAAATATGTTCGGGTTGAACCTGATTTAATATTCAAGTTGAACCTGATTTAATGTTGGGGTTGAGCCTGATTCAGAATTTGGGTTGAGCCCGATTTAATATTCGGTTGAGCCCAATTTATATATTCGGGTTGAACTCGATAATTCAATGGCTCAACCCAGGTATTGTTCGAATTCAATTCGGGTTGATGTTTTTCTACTCAGACTCAACTCAAGTATTAAAAACCTCAACTCAAGCCTTGTTTTCCTCAAGTTGGGTTCGAGTTGAATTTGAATTGGCCCAGTCAAGTTCCACCCTAGGGTCACATGTAATCTATAAGGCAAGGCCACATTAGTCCCACCATGTATAGTAAGTTTCAGATACCTATAGTTAAGGGTGTTAATTGAGCTTGGCTATGCTTAGGCTCGGTTCATTCTATTCAAAGGTTGCTCAAACTCAGTTCAGGCTCACTTATCAAACTCAAAATATTGTTCAAGTTC